GTAATAACCCAAGGATACCACCCGGTTGGTTCACCGAACAGCACGCGTCTTTTTCAGCCCGGGTTATTTGACCGGTTGGATGAGGAGACCAGATGCCAATACCCGAAGATTTACTTTCAAAGTGCACCTGGTGGGCCGGTCAGCCGCCTGACCGGTTGGATAATCAGAGACGTGCTTGACGTGCTTAGGATTATTATAAATACCCTTAAAAGCCTCATTTGTGAGGCATGTTTTAATTAACCTACACGGCTTGTATTTGTAATAACTCCTATTATCATTAATAACAAATCGGGTTACAGGTGATTCCACCTACAACCCTTCCGATTACTCACACTTAATATTTGCGTGGTAATTTACACCATCAAAGTGCATGAGCTAATTATATTTAAATAAATAAATGACATACAATATTATAATAAAGAGTTTATAAATACTTACCTTCCCAAACAATTGTCTTAATAATTGGACTAGACGTCGACTCGGACGAGCTAGTGGGTCAATTCAAGGGTCAACGACTCAGTTAACTATAAATTAAAAGAATAATATTTTATATTATATTATTAGATATTATATCTGTGTTTCTCACTCTTACATTAATCAATTTTCATTGAATATGCCGTCACATTTTCAATTTGCTATTTGTATTATTTTTTATTAGTATCAAAGATAAATAATAAGTATCTAATAAAACTAATATAGTAAGGCAATACTCATATTCCAAAAAAAGTAAAGGCTAGGTAATGTATTTTTTAATATAATATTCCAAAATTCGTATGCAACACTTCACACTTATATTTAGTTAATATAAAAATGTTCTTCTCGGTTCTGTTTACGAAGTTAGATCGACTTTATTTTCAATTCAATTTATTTGATTGTAGGTGTAAAATTAAAAAATAAAATTTATATATTTGAAAACTACATCAAAAGTTGTACAAAACAAGTGGTGACAAGACTATATTATTTTTTCAAATACCTAATGAAAATAGGTAAAGAAAGTGATTAAAGTTTGATCGTGTGAATAGTAAATGGAAAAACATTTAAAGACGGAGGGAGTAATTTTTAACAACACTCTGAAATGTTTATCGATAGTCATCTATTATACGTATTATTTTTTCCAAAATTGTACTACAAAAGTAGACTAGGGGTGTAAACAAACTGAAGCGAAGCGAATAACGAGATATTTGAATTTGTATTTGTTTAATTTTTTCGAATACGAGTCCGAATCTGAATACGAGACGAATTCAAAATAAGATTTGAATATGTATTTGATTAATATTCGAATAGTTATCGAATCCTAAACGAATATTTGAATAATCATACTATGTCATTTATATGATAGACTAATATCGATTTGTAAATTAACTTACGATACTCCTTATACTATACTATATTCCTATCTAAAAACATTAATACATTTGCATCTTACATAAATTATATTTTATACTCCGTAAAATATAACTATTAAAAATCACGTGCTTTAGATTTCCGTGTTACGTTTATTTATTGAATTCTTAGTAATTAAAATACATTTTATACTAAATTACATTGCTTGACTTTTGATGTTGAAAACATGGTCTGTGTATATATACATATATTCGAATACTCGAATATCATCTGAATCGTATATATCCCTATTTGTATTTGTATTTGTTTAATATCTGAATCAAAAATAATATTTGAATTTGTATTTGTATTTGAATAATGCGAATTTGAATCATTATATTCAAATACGAATCACGAATCGAATTTAAAATATTTGATTTGTTTACATCCCTATACAAAACTTATGATAATTTTCGATAATTTAGTACAAATGTTTTTTGCAAAATAACAATTCAAAAATTGTGAAAATCGCACAACAATTTTTTCTCTCCAAAATGACACTAATTGTTTTTATAATTCACAATTTTTTTGTATTACAATTTTTTTCTCGAGCGATACTCTAAGCTATTTTTCGATAATTCGCTATTATATTTTTCTCAAAACAAAATATGAAATTTGTAAATCTTTTTATTTTTAAAAGAAAATTGAGACAAATTTCTAACAATAGAGTACTGTTATGTTTTTAAAAACATAAATTTAAAATTAAAAATTAAAAAACAAAAAAATGAATTTACCTAACATAAAAACAAAAAAAGTAGTGACAAGAAAAATAAAATTTACAAATTTGTAGAAATTTGGCATAGAGTACTTTTTTGTTTAAAATTTACTGTTATGTTTAAAAAATAAAACATAAAACTGAAACAGGAGAGGGTTTGCCGAGAACAGGCGCGAAATAAAGTACTGTTGTGTTTTCAATTCATTTTATATAAATAATTATATAGATATAAAAAATAAAATTTGTAAATTTAAAACTAGATCAAAAATTCTACAAAACAAATAGTAACAGCTAACAAAAAATATTTTATTTTATCAAATAATCAATGAAACACATGAAAAAATAATAATAACTTTAAATAGGGAAGTGTGGGGATTTTTGGGACCGAGGGACTAGATTTGGAATACCGAGCCCATTCAAATATTACTATGCTCTCCGGTGGACTGTTCTTCTTCTTCTTCTTCTCCCAAACACAGCACAAAACCAGAGGCAAAAAGTAAAGAAGAGAAAGAAAAGAAAAGACAGAATTATGTAATAATATCCCCCCGAAAGCAAGAAATTTGGGGTACCCCAAAACTATAGATAGGACCACTCTCGATTCCCCCCTTTCTTGTCTCTCTGCAATATATAATTACTACCATTTCCTCTTCTTCCCTGAAGCAGAACAACTAACAGCTCTCTTCAAGTTAACATGGCATCGCCATTAACACTACCTCAATTAGAACAAGAAGAAGAAGAAGAAGAAGACGACGAAAATGAGGAACTCGCCTCCCTTTTCTCCAAAGAAACAGAGTCCCCGCCGCCCCTGTTCTCCGCAGACCCTCCCCTGTTTCTGCTGCCGCGCGCGGCGGCCGTCCGGTGGATTCTGAGAGTCAGCTCGCATTACGGGTTCTCGGCGCTGACTCCGGTCCTGGCCGTGAACTACCTCGACCGGTTTCTCTCCGGCGTGATCTACCAGGAAGACAAGCCCTGGATGGTTCAGCTCGCCGCCGCCGCGTGCCTCTCCTTGGCCGCAAAAGTCGAAGAAACCCACGTTCCCCTGCTCCTCGACCTCCAAGTAAACATTCTCAATCCCTTCAAAAACATAAACCCATCTTTAAGTTCAAGAAATTTGAATCTGAAATGGCTGTTTGATCCCAGGTGGAAGATGCAGAGCATGTGTTTGAGGCAAAGACGGTGCAGAAGATGGAGATAATGGTTCTTTCGTCGCTGGACTGGAAGATGAATCCGGTGACCGCCATTTCGTTCGTCGACGGCTTCGCCGCAAGGCTGGGGCTGAATCGTCGTCTTCATCCTCTCCACTGGGAGATGTTCTATGCAAGATGCCTGGCATCCATTCTGGGTTTCTTGCCTGGTAATTATTTTAATGATGTTTTTCTTGAAGGAGATGGATGATTATCTAAGTAAGTAACCAGATTGTGTTGAAGACTTTTATGAATAAAGAACAAAAATTACATAGTTTAATGAATCACGTAAACATTCTCAGATCAAAATTATTTCGGGGTATACCAAACACTTTAATCGAATAAGATGTTCATCAAGAACAAGCACTTTGAATCACTGCTTTAACCATACTAGCAAGACCTTATTTATAGAAGCGAAAATTAGAGATTAGACACGAACATTTGCGTAAAGATGCGAATGTTAGCGCGAAGAGATAGGAACGAAAATCAAACGAGCATTCGCTTAAGAGGCAAACGTTCGAGGGAAGAGATTTTTGCGGTTCGTACGCCCGATTCTTTAATGTTTTAGTCTCTGTTCATGTGGCGGTGCAGCTTGTTGCGCGCTTAACTACTACCTTGATGTAAATGGGGACTAAATTATGGATATTCTATTTCAAGAGTGGAATATGTAGTTCTTTTTTAAAACATAAGTCCGAAGGATTTATGTGGCTCTATCCCTTGGACCCTGCTACCGAGGATTGTTAGCTCCGGACTTCCGGTATGAATTTGTACTATCATTGAAAGAGCGCGCATGCCGCATCTCCTAACTTGTTTGACAACATTTATTCAAAGGGTAATTTACTCATATAGGACTAACATATAATGACTTTTTCAATATAATATCATGTTCCGTTTGTTTTTATTTCTCAATGTAGGAACATTGATCATTATCCATTAGTCATTATTCAAGTAAATATTCATCATCAGTAGAAATTATTTTTCGCACTAGACATTACCAAGTCCTATTTAGAAAATAAAAAAATTTAAGTTGTATATTAAGAAATGATTTACGTTTTAGTTTATTTAGTTCAAATTTCACTTTTTTCAAATACTCGGTACTTATTACCAACAGATTGTAATGGTGATGTAAAATAAATGGGTGCAGATTCAAGATTTGTACGTTATGTGCCGTCGGTGGTGGCCGCAGCGGCCATGCTGGAGGTGGAGTCCAGCTGCAACGGCGTTGACTATGGAACCCAACTCCTTTCTCTTCTTCATGTCACTAAGGTGTGCCCTTTTTGGTCTCTTTATTTACTCACTCCCAAGTACTCTCTTAGGGAGTGTTTCTTTTTGGAAAAAAAATATCAAATTGAAATTAAAGATGATAAAAGTACCAAAACAAGAACAGGACTCTTCTTATTATGTACTCCCTCCGTCTCTAAAACATGAGAGATTGTGCTTTTTTTAGTGATTTAAGAAAAGTGTATTTTCATGTTGAGTTTCTAAAAATATTCTTAGATGTGATATGTAAAAGTAGGATTTGATTTGTAGATTAATAGTAAATATATGTGATGTGATATGTAGGTTAGGAATTAGTAGGAGTAAAAGTGACTTTTTTAATAGAAATGGAATTTCCTTAGAACGAATGATAAAAGAATAGAGAAAGATTTTTAGCGACGAAAAAAAATATCATTTAAATAGAAGTTCACATTATTATTCTCACACTGCACATTCTCCTCAAAGTGGCATCACACTATTATCGTCCGAGGCACTCCATTCGGTACTATTCCATTTTGGAACGTAACAGTACAATACCATACTCATATATATACTCAAGGCGTGTAAAAAAAATGAACATGCATTACTCAAAAAATATTTAAATAAAAACATAATTATGTATAAAAAGCACAACTTTATTAAATAGAAGTATTGATTTCAAATTTGAATAAATCATAAACATAAAGAATAAAAGATAACAAGTTTAAATTTTAAAAATAGATTTTTTTTTGCAATTCATACAATATCAAACTATTAATAACTTTAAATAAATAATGGTAATAGTAGTTGATACAATTTGATAATAATTGGTCTTATTAAATATTGAGAGATATGTCCTTATATGTAGGGATTACAAGAGAGAGTCCTATTCCTAGTAGGAAAGGAATAAACTAATTATGGTAATACAAGAAGAAGGAAAATAAATAAAATAATATTAGGAGTCTTCCTATTATCCCCGCAAGCTGATCAACGGATACGAGGGGCAGCTTGGAACACAAATAATGGAACGGAGTCGGAGGAAGCGGTTTTGTTAGGATGTCAGCAAGCTGCTCAGAAGAAGGAACATGATGTGTAGTCATAGTGCCAGCCATAACCTCGTCCACACTCAAAGCCAACATGCTTCATGGGATCACGAAGAACATGATTCTTGGTGACACAGATTGTGAACTCATTATCACAATAAATCGATACTCAGCTTCAGTGGAGGAGCGCGAGACGTGAGTCTGTTTTTTTGTGCACCATGGGATAAGATTCGGCCCCAGCATAAGAAGATACCCAGTGGTGGAACGACGATCATCTTTGTCATTAGCCGAGTCAGAGTCAGAATAAACAGCAAGATCAAGAGAGCCTTTTCGGAACAGAAGGCCATGAGAAGAAGTACCCTTCAAGTAGCGAAGAATACGTTTGAGAGCCAAGTAGTCCTTTTCTGTAGGATTATGCATGGTCTGAGAAACTCGATTCACAGCATACTGAATATCAGGTCGAGTTACCGCAAGATAGTGTAGACTACATGTTTTCCTATTTTGCCATTACCATTTTTTCCTATTTTGCCATTACTTGGTTTTTTCTTTTTTAGAAATTTTTTTATTTCATTTATTTTTATATCATACAAATAATTTTGAATTTTTATACGATTTTATAGAAGAAATTTTAGAAAAACAATTTAAAAAACAGTAACAAAAAAAACAAAGAAATAAAAAAAGGAGCGACCTAAGAGTTATTATCATAAAACATTAAGGAAAAAAATAGGAAGAAATACATTTATTAACGTTTATGGATGAAATATTAGATGGAATGTCCCTGCGAGTCATTACAACAAAATGTAAGGACCTCCATTGTCTTCTTGAAAATAGAGGGACCTAAGAGTTATTTCGACAAAACTCACGTCACCCGTGAGTAATTTTCTGCAGAGAAAGTGTATGTTAGCGATTCTTATTAAAAATAATTATAAATATAACTAGAATCAGATCAAAACTTGATAAAATCATATCAGATGTCTAACAATTTTTTATAACTTGTCTCCTATATACTTTTCTCATTCCAAAAAGAATGTTACTTTTACAATTTCGGTCTTTCGATAATTTTTATTTGCTTACTTCTTTTCGATGACTATCTTTCCCCGATCTTATATTTTACGCACAAAAAATGTGATTAATTATTTGTTACTCCCTTTTTTACATTAGAAAATTAGTCCAAGGTACTCTCAATTTTTTAGTACTAACTTTCATGTTCCACATTATCTAATCTACGGGGTATATTTCAGGGTACCCTTGATTTTCTGGTATAAAACTCTTAGATCATACATTATTTGAAATATATTATGTGGGTCCCAAAGATTAGTGGTAATGTACTCATTGTTTACATTCGTCTATTTAACCGTTTTACTTTGACAAATACTAAAATTTACCTTTATAATTATTACTTTTTGAATTTAAATAAAATCTTTCTCTTTCTCAAATTAAAAAAATTCAATCCTAATGCTAAATAGGCAGAATGTACTCTCGATGTATAGTATCACAACTTTTAAAGATCTCAAAATACTCCATCCGTTTCAAATTATTTGTCACATTTCTATTACCGAGACAAAATATTAAGTTTTTTCAATTCATTTTATTTACATATTGGTAAAGAAATAACAAATAAAAAGTACATGTCAAAAAACTACATGAAAACGTAGAAATAAACAAAAGTTTCCGCGACTGTTGAAAAAACAAATGTGACAAATAATTTGGGACGGATGGAGTATATTTTGGATAATATAAGACTATAACTTTTTACTAGAAAATTAAAGATATTGCGGAGTATATTTTAGATAATGTGAGACCGAAGAGCAATTATGTGAAAATCGAGGGTACATTTTCTGATTTTACATCCTCCGTTTATTGTGGTTTTTAAAAATTAATATTCTCAATTTATAATATAAAAATATAATATTTTAAAATTATCTTTCATTCATTTTTAAAAATTTCCAGAGTTAATCACTATTCAATTATTTTTATCATATAAAGTTTAAATTTCAAAGGGGCTGAACTTAATTAAAGTAGCTAACAATACAGTGGGGTTGGTGCATTATTACTGGGCGTGGCAGGATAAAGTGAACCAGTGCTCCCAGACAATGAGAGAGGTCGTGGCAGTGTCAAACAGTACTTTCCGCCGCCGTCATTACATCGGCTGCTACGGCGGCGACGCCTACCACTGCTGCCCGCATCATCCGGGCAGTCCCATCGGAGTCATCGATGCCGCTGCCTTGTGCTGCACCGAGAGCTCGGACGACGATTGGTGGGGTTCGGACACGGCGCCGGTAACACCGCCGCCGCCCCATTCCAAGAAAATTAGAGTTGAGTAAATTGAAGTAACAGCGAACTCGGTCATCTCATGACATAGAGTTTCACGTATATTCGCATGAATACTCATTATCAAGTAATTAAGTATTTATTTCCGATTAACGGAGTACTCATATTCGAGTTACTGATTGCTCATTTTCGAGCATAAGAGATTTTAGAGAATTGAATATTCACTTGTTTGAAAATGAGCACTTGTCGTGAATATACGGAAAATACGGTATAACTATTTGTGCTATATATATTGCGCAGAACCATCGTGGTGGTAAATTGTGCTTTCGCATCTCCATGTAAAATAAGTGAATTTTGTTCCACGGCCTTCTAAAATTATTTTTATTCTCAAGTTAAGTGTTAATGTTGAAGCTTTGTTTTTGGTCTTAAAAATATTTTATATGAAATCAATTTTATATCAACTCTAGATCAATGGAAAGATCATTTCAAAAAGAAATTATTGACATGGTTTAATTCAAAATATTTTAGAGTAATTGAAAGTCATTTATTTATATGGACCAAAAATATATTTAATCTAAAAATATAAAAATTATATATTAAATATTTTGGTCTCGTTGGCTAGATTTTTATAATATTTTCAATAAAATATTATTCTCTAAAATACTAATGTTGGTTTCTTGCATGGCCGGCCCACAACATATGGACTGTTTCAATTCTATTGGACCTAATATGTTTAGACATTTATGCATTATGTTATTTAAATTACTCCGTAATTAATTAATTTTGAATCAAAACTAGCAATGATTTTAAGAAAACAAGTATTCCACATAAGACGAAATAAGTCACTAAACATGCTTATCACGAGGTAGATAGGATTTCTTTGATTTTTTTTATTGTCTTTTTTTTATCAAGGGGTCATAAATCTAAGATTCATTTTAGTGTATATCCATGAAAACAAATTTCATTTTGAATTTATCATGTGAAATTTACACTGAATATGACTATAATATAACTCATTTCTCAATGTAGGACTTAAACTTGTTTATTTCCTAAATATGACTTAATAATGACTAGTAAAAAGAATAATATCTAAATGATGCAGGACATTTAGTTGAATAATGACTAATAGATAATGACCAACGATCTTACATTGGGAAATAAAAACATATGGTTTTATATTGAGAAAGTCATTATATTTTAATCCTATTTATGTAAATTACTCACTTATTATTTTATCTTAGTGTTCATTGTAATATTAATTCAATGCTAGTGGAAACATTGGATGCATTAGACCATATGAGAATCAAACTTCCACTAAATCAAATTAATGAATACCCCAAATTATATATACACTTGAGGGCAGTGGTAATACCCCTCACGCCCACCGGCGTGATAGGCGGTTTTAACGTCGGGGAGCGTTAAACACTGACCCCCCTCGGCGTTATACGGGCGTGATGGGATCTCCGTCATTCGTTTGACGCGCAGCATTCCCCCATTTAGCCGTTACCTCCCCCCAACGACTATATAACCGTTCCC